ATTTTTATTTTATTTTTTCTATGAAATTTCCTTTTTGTTTTTAGATTTTATTGTTTTAAGAAGAAAAATATATTTTTTTCAATTGATTAAATTTTTATGATCGTATTCATTTTTTATTTACTTTTTTTTTTTTGTTTAATTAAATTTTATTTTAGTTTTTAAATTTTGTTTTAGAAGTAAATACAGTGCTATCTGGGTCGAGTGAACTAATTAATGCAAGACCAGTTCATAAAATGCAGATTGTTCACTATATCCAGATTGAGTTTTTTGTTCTTTAAAATCAATTTTATTGCGCAGTACGTCTTTTGAAGTTAAATTTTTAAGAACTCTGAAATGTTGTCTTTTCCCTCAGCTAATGCCAACACATGTTTCCTGTTGTTGTTCTATCGTTGTCGTCAAGCGGTTGTCTATTAGCGGTAGACCCTGGAAGCGTGCAGCCTCGATGGAGTCTGTCCATAAGGCCAGAGGCGTTAGCAGGGTGGGGTTCAGTGGGTATGCGAAGAGATGCTGCGAGTCATGGGGCTTCTCTTCGAATGCGGGGAATTCATTTGGCACATCTGCATTTATTCTGCTCAAGTATGAGTTCAACCTGCTGCAGTAGCCAGATCGAAGTTGGGCTATGGCGTCCGAGTCTCCCGAGGCAGACGAAGCTCTGCCTCGTCCACGTCTGGTGGTTGCATGCCCAGAACGGCATACACAGATCGAGAGTCTATATAACTGTCGGTAGGCTGTTTTGTCCAGAGGTTTTTTTTGAACCCCCGGACTTCGTCCGTCAGTTCATAAAGATGCCTTCTGATGTGCCGTCGCGAGGATTCTTCCGCAAGCAGATGTCTGTTCGGGTACCTAACACGGTGACACCCTACTAGGAATTGCTTGCAGAGCATTGTGTTATGCTCCTTAATCGGGAGGATATTGGCCTCGTTGCGCAGGTGATGTTTCGGCAACATCAGAAGGCATCCTGTCGCTGTCTGAGTGCCGTGTTTTGGCAAGTCTGCAGTTTCATCCACTGCGTCCTACTAGTCCCCGATAACCACAGAGGCGTTGCATAGTTCAGAACCGTGCAACCAATTGCCTTGTACGTTGCCAGCAACGTTTCTTTGTTCTTTGTCTTAGGGGAGAGGGTTAGGCTCCGTGCAGTGACGAAGCGAGAAAGCTCGGTGAAATAACCATTATCGAGCAACCGTCAGCATAAGAGACAATCGAGACTACCTCTGGTGGTTGAGGGAGCTTAGAAATGTAAATGTTGAACAGTAGTGGGGAAAGGGCGCCACCCTGTTGAACTCGCTGTTTTATTTTCCTAGGTTTGCTCGATTTGTCTCTAAAGATCACTGACGACCACTCAGGTATTTCGCTGCCCACCATTTGTCTTCGGGTAGTGTCACTTGAAAAGTTCTATATAGCTATCGGGCGAGAAGACTCTCCTTTGTTGGACGGTTTCCCCGGTGGACAATCACCTCACGGTTGACCAAAGCTTGCTCACACCAGAGGCGAAGTTACAGGTCTTCAGATGGTCTTCCCACTTCTTCCGCTTATGTACGTTCACTAGTTGCTGAATCTCCGAGTTGAGATCCCTGATACGGGGATTTACGGGATCGGCCTGGCGTAGGGATTAACCTTTTTGTTATTAAATTTGTCGTTACAGTTTTGAATTTGGAAGGAATTGGTTTTAAATTTTGTTCACTCTACAAAGACACAATATTGTTCACTCTATAGAGTACTCAATGGACAAATTTTCATGTTCACTCTTTATTGGTGTTCGAAGCATCGGGTGTTCACTCCAGCCAGATAACACTGTATGTGCATATATATATTTTTTTAATTTCATCTTATTTTTAAATACCATTCTCTTCTTAAAAAAAATGATTTTTCTAATTTAACTTTGTTTTAATTTTTAGACTTTATAGTTTAATTGTTGCTAAAAAGTGAGTATTATTACGCCACAATAATGATAATAACAATGTTGTTTTTTAAATTCATTAAAAATATTTTGATTTATTTTCATTTATCTTTTTTTAATTAATTTGCTTTTGCTTATTCGTTTTTATTATTTAAAAAAATATATATGTATATATATATATTAATTAAATCGATTAAAAAAAATTTATTGCTAAAAGACTAACAGCATAATGCTAAGACCTCCTCGTTAGCAGATCTGTCAATTGGTCTTTCGAAAGCCACCAAAGTACAATCAAGATAATTGCCAGAATTTACGTTTGTCATAAGAAAGTCTTTTGCCTTTCGAAAACCTGTGGTAAGCTGAAAGGCAGTTGCCAGAATTGCCCTGACAACCTAACCTAACTACAGAATCTCGTGGTAACTACATCGAATATGTTGCCTTAGATTTCGGGTATTTTGCGCTTTCAAGTTTTTCTACTAGTGTTTTGTGTAGCACTCTAGTAAAATTAATTCTATAATATACAAAAATTCTAATTTGTTAAAATGTATCTACTATTTAAATAATTCCTTTCAATATAGCAATCAGAATTTTGTAATTTCTTTTAATTTACATTTACTTTGAAATACGAATGCAAATTTTTTGTACAACTTTTAACAAATACAATTAAAAATGCAGGAGTTGGCAAGAAAAAACCATTACCAAAACCAAACATTTTCCATCATTTCTTTTGTCATTGCACTGTTACGGCAGCCGCTGCATTAGCTTAACAGGCAGCCGTTGCCAGACATGTCAGTCGCCACAATCAAGCGGCGAAGTCACGCTGACAAAAAGTGAAGTTGGTTGTTGCAACAACAGCAGCTAATTGTATGCCAGCAATTGCGGTATACATATGTATGTATGTATGTATGTATATATGTAGGTACATTACGAGTTTTTGTTCTATTGTTCTGTTTGTGATGTTAAATTTATTATGTTTTTGCACAGCAACGCGGGTGGTAAGTTTGATGAGGAAACACTCGCCAATCGCCACTCACTCAACATTTGCATAAATTCATTATAGTTTACCCCAAAAACTATTTCAATTTAGCATTCGTGTTGTTGTTGCTAAAGCTGAGCATGATGCTTAGTGCGCTACTTCAAATTTTTGTATGTTGTTTTGTTTTGGATTAAAAAAAAAATGTCTGCTGAACATTTTCCCTTAGCCAATTTCGCGTACTTACTATCTGTATTTTAATTTATGTAATTGGTTTTTCTATTTTTATGGATAGAACTCTATGTGTATGTGTGTGATTGCGAGCTATAATTGCCTATTTCTATTTTCCACTTCTCTTTCCACTCAAATGCTTATTGTGTAAGTGCATTTTGTTTCTGTAGGGTCACTTATGTTTTCACAAATAATTGAAGTGTGCTTTTTAAATTAATTTTTTATATGTGTATGGATGTTTTGCACTTGCATTGCTACCCTTCGTACACTGCATTGGTAGTTTTAAAACCCCACTGAAATAAGCTTAACTTTTGGGTGAACTTCATTCAACTATGTATGTATGTATGTATTACTCAAAATTGTTGTTATTTTGTGCCAAGAGAATTTCATTGAAATTGAATGACACTTGAAATTGACCTTTGTTGGCATTGTTCCCAAACAATTTGCACGAATAACTGTAGCCAATTTTTTACGTAGTTTATTTCAGACAATCTATACATTTTTTTTTTATTTACATATTTTTTGTGTGTACAACAATGAAGAGTGAATAATTAAAATAGGTTGACACAAGTATGAGTGGTGAAAATTAAGAAGAATTTCGCTCGCAA